AGGCATCCATCCTGAGGGGTTCAGAGGCAGAAAGGGGGATCCATGAGGGGAGGAGACCGGGAAAGAGGGCTGAGCTGTCTAGGGGAGGGGCTGGGGCCTGTGAGGGGCAGTGGCACAGCTGTAGGGGAGAGGGCACTAGGACTCATCCCAGGGGGATGCCTGGAGCTGCTTCTGCCAGGACCAGGGTGAGACTGGGTCTCCCAGACCCTAGGGCAGATATGTCTTCTCATACCCCAGGGTGGGGCAGGGTGGGGCACACCCCCAGCTCAGTCCAGGCTGAGGGTCCTGCGCCTGTGCTTGTGTTACCTGCGCCAGCAGCCCAGGGTGTTCCAACCTCCTCTACCCTCTGCTGGTAGCCTAGGAAGGGCAAGGTGCAGGTGGAAGGGCAGGAGCAGAGCCTGGCAGAGGGCAGGGGCAGGGGTAGAGCCTGGCAGAGGGAAGAGGGCTTTGGGCAGAGGGCAGAGGCTGGCTCAGCATCCCAGGGGTTCCCTCTCTGGCCCTCCCCGTGGACTTTCTCTAGTGGTTTCTCACTCCAGGCTTCAGTGGAGGGTGGACAGTCCACCCACTGAGCCCCACCCTGGGCTTAGTGACCTGGGTACCCTGCTCTACTGATGCCAGGCTCTAAGTGCATGACCCTGACTGTAATTCCTGGTGCTATCTGCAGGGAAAAGGGCAAAGGTACCCACCCAGCTGAAACATCCTCCAGGGCCAGGCTAGAGGAAGTCTCCAGGGAATGAGGCTACAGGGTCACCTTCTTGGGGGACTTGAGCCCAGGACAGCCTTGCCAGGGCTCAGGGCTCAGGGCCTGGCCATGTCTCAGACAATCCACCCCATATGCAGACAGGCATATCGAGGCCTGGATGGCAAGCTGGGTCTGACTCCATCTCTGCAATGCCCTGGTCATTGGAGGGGGTGTCTGGAGTGTGGCACCCCCGAGTCCAAGCTTCTTTTCCGCTTCAGTGGTGTCCCCCAGGCCTCCCCTTCCCCCAGCAATACGCTTCTAGAATGTTCCTTCTTGACGACCCCAGGGCCTCCAGGGAAGCCCTGAATTCCTTCCTGGCTGCTCAGCCTGTGTCCTGGAGTTCCCTGCAGGCCGTGACAGACTCCACTCCAACCTGGGACAGGGCAGGGACCCCCTGAGCCGAGGCCATCTTTTGGGCTGTGTCAACTCCTGTGGCAGCAGCTGCTCTCCTGGGAACTGACAGGCCCAGACCTTGTTCAGGGGTCCTGCCCTCTGCCCTCTCCTCTCCCACGCACTGGAGGATGGTGACACCAGGCCCACACTACGGGGGCTAGGCTGGGTGTGGAACCCGGTTGAGAGGGAGGGCCATCTCCACTGATGAACTTCTCAGGGCCCACCCACCCAGCAGGGCCCAGCGAGGACCCATGACGGAGCCGGGATAAGGGCCAGGGCTGGCAGGGCTCTGGGGCACACCCAGCCCAGGCTCAGCGCTGGGAACCCACATGGAGCAGTCAGTAAGTGGGGCCTCACCCCCACCTCGTGTCGGGCATGGGGACCCAGAGCTGGCCTTGCACCTGCCTACTGTGTTCCCAGTGTCCTGGGGAGGCCAGGCTGGCTGGCGGCCTCCAGGCTCCTCCTTTAAGGGAGGAAACTGAGGCCCCAGGATCCCGAAAGTAGGTGTTGGAGAGGAGTGTCAGAGAGAGGGGGAGTGTGTGGGGGGTGCCCAAGGTCGGGGGCCAGCCACACCCCTCCAGGACTTCAAAGCTCAGAGGGTGAGATGTGCAGGGGGCTGGGCCGGGCGCCCTGGTGGGGTGGGGCCCCCCCCACCTCCGGGCCTTTTATATGGTTATTCCTGTCCTGTCTCAACTACCTGCGAACAGGCCCACCAGGCGCATTTCCTCCCTCTGCCGGCGGGTGGGCAAGATAGGCTGTAAACGCCCTGGGGGGTGGCTTCTGAGGCCGGCTGGGGGCTGGAGCTGGGGCTCCTGGGGTGATGCCCGCCCTTGGCAGGTGAGGGAGGACGTGTACCAGGTGCAGCAGCCCAGGCCAGCAGGCCCTTGGGAGGGAAGACCTCCCTTGGGTCACTGTCTTTTGCATAGAAGGGAAACTGAGGCCCAGGCATGGGCGGGGCTCGCTCCTAAGGAGGGTGAGTTGAAGGTGTTACCTCCCAGCCCCCCTCGCCTGTAAACTGGGCTGTGTTGTATGGCCCCAGGGGCTGCAGACCAGCACGTCCCCATTCCTCTGAGGCACATCCAGGACCCCTTGTGGGGTCTGCCCTCTGTCTGTGCTAGGCCACGGTGGGGATGGGGACAGCTGAGACCATCTTCATGGTGGTCCTTCACACTAGGCCTGCAAGGAAACCTTGGGCCCTGCACCCAGATACCCCCGAGCCTCCGGCAGCCTGTTGGGCCAGCACTGTCCCCTCTGGGCCTCAGCCGTGGAGACAGAGCCTGGGTGCTGGGGACCTCTCTGCTGACCTCAACTTCAAGCCCCCAGGTGGCCCTGGCTGGGATCTGGGTATGGGCTCCCACCCCAGCCTACGCTGAGTCCTCAGGTCCCTGTGACCTGGCAGCTGTGCCCACGCTCTCACACCCTCTGCCTGCCCAGTCGCCTCCCGAGTCTTTCATCTGCAATGCCCCCAACACTGGGGCCCAGTAGGTGCCAATTAGGGTGGCTCTGTCCTGGGTCCTGACTCAGAGGCACTGTGTCCATGCACTGGAGCTGACCAAGGGCTCCTGTGGGGTGCCGCCCTCCCTTAAGGACTGACCCCTTATGGTTATTGCTCAGGAAGGCCTGGCGAGTTGAGCAGGCTTGGGGTGCCCCCACTGGTGAAGTGCCACAGGGAACAGGGGTCCGGCGCCCTTAGTCACTGGCTCCCTCAAGTAGACAGCAGCATAGCGGCCCCCGGGGCCCACTGGGGAATTCCAGTGGCTCTGCCTGTGGAGGGTCAGGGCTGCCTGGAGCAGTGGGAAACCTGTCTGGGATGGGCCTCACAGTCCCAGCCAGTGAAGCCGTGGCTGGGCGTGATATTGTGGTGCCCACCAGACCTCAGGGATGCATGGAGGCAGATGCAGGCTTAGGGATATGAGGGGAAGGGGTGCTGGGCCTCCAGAGTCCTGGACCAGGTCCCTTCTCCCGTGGCCCTCACAGGCCCTGGCAGCTCTGTGCTCCCCTGGCTGGTTGCTCTGGAGAAGCACCCCTTCTTCACAGTCACCCCCAGCGGCCACACTTCAGCCCTCAGCCCCTCCTGGGCCTGGCCTCCTTAACTGTCCTGGAGCAGGGGTCTCTGCTTCATGAGGCTCTGCGTGGCTCCCGTGGGCAGGGATTTCACAGTGGCCAGGCCTGGGCAGGAGTCCTGTGCAGCCAGCAGGGCTCTCTTGGCAGAGGGCGGTATGTTCCTGTTCCGTGGGTGCTGTGTGGCCTCGCTGCGCCCGCACCGTGAGGAGGCCCTGGGCATTGAGTGGGTGGACAGACCGGACCTGGGGCAGAGAGGAGCAGGGCCCTTGTGGGGGCTGGGCTGGACCCATAGCCTCAGGGATTTGGATGGGGCACAGGACCATGTTTGGGAAGGCCAGGCTTCTGGTGGACCCATCACAAAAGCCAGGAGCAAGGGCACTAGCTTGAAAATGGCACCCAGAGAGGGCAGCCAGGCCTGGTGTGGCCTAGAGAGGGTGTCCTGTGGGCCAGCCATGTAGGTGCCTTGGGGCCAGGGTGTGGGGAGGGAGGTCAGCAGTTCCTCAGGCCCCTCTGCCCAGCCTGAGCTGCAGGCCCTGGCCCTGTGCCCTCAGGGGCTGGGATGGCAGGTGCCTCTCCTGGAGGGGTCCTGTCCCTGCCCAAGGCTGGCTCTTCTCTGGCTCTTGGGGCCTGGGGGTTGTGTTCCTATGGCCTCCAGGCCTAGGATGCTGGTGCACCTGCCCCACCCCTGGGGCCACTTTGACCCCCCCCTTCTTACCACAGGGCATCGGGGGGATGGCCAGACCCTCCTGTTCTCTGCAGGCCTGGCTCCCCACTAGAGGCATGCAAATGGCCTGAGCATGGAGGCTGTGCTGGGCCCAGCCCTCAAGCAGGTGCGCTGGCTGCTCTTGGCCTCCCCGCCTCTATGGCTTCTTCCCTTGGCATTCACTGCCTTGAGGGTCTGGCTAGGCATCCAGGCAGGGCCCAGAGGTGGGCACAGGGACAAGGCAGCCATGGGAGGGCAGAGAGTGGAGCGGAGATCTTGGGTGGGGCTGGGACGGGGAAGGCATGGCCTCGAGAGCCCTGGGACTCTGCTGCCTGTTTCCAGAGGATCGCCTGGCACCCCTAGTGAGGTCACGTGAGGGCTCCCATGGGCCGGATGGCTCGCCTGTTCCAGGGGCTGTTTCTGCCTTCCTCAGCTGGGGAGAGGAGATGGGGTCCCAAAGGCAGGGCTGCCCCTGTGCCCAGCCCAGGAGGTGAGGATTCTGAGGAACTGATGGCCAGCCCCATTCCAAGGTCCTGCTGGGATCCAGCCAACCCCACACTTAGAGGCCACCGGTTACCAGGCCACCGTCCTCAAACCCAGAGAGTTGGGGGCACATCCATAGCTGGTGCTGGGGTGTCAGCTGAGTAAGTGCGGGCTCTGAGGGAGGGAAGACAGTGGGCGACCCACAGCACTACTGACTCGCTGGGGGCTTGGGCAAGCCCCTTCCCTTAGGGCTGCCTACTTGGGGCCTCAGGTGCCTGCTGCTCTCCCCATCAGAGGCTCTACCCTGTTCCAGGCCTTGGTGTCAATGGCCGTTCCCTCATTTCCTCGGCTTGGCTATCCTTATTCCTTCCCCTTGGACTTCCAGCTGTGGAGGTCCCCTGCTCATCATGGCCCTGGGGCCTCCTCCTGCCCCAGACCCAGGCCCTGAGCCCCTGAGTGGGCATCTTCTCTACTTTCTCGACACCATGCTGACCCACCACCCAGAATCCAGCCTAGACCACAGCCTTGCTGGCTGGTTCCCTTTTTCACTTTTCCCATTCTTTGAAACTCTCAAGCTATGACTAAATTTCTTTCATAGAAAGAAAAGAAAAAAAAAACGCCAAAACACAACACATCTATTCATCTAACTCCAGTGGACAGTGGATATAGCAGCATCAGATACATTACAACCAAAAACACAGAATCTGAGGCAGAGGATGGTGGCGTCCCCTCTTCTGGGCTCTTGGGGCGCCCCGCCTGGTCGCGTCTGCTCCCGGCACCTCGAGGGTGGGAGCCGGTTCACAGTGGCAGAGGCTGAGCGGCGCTGGCCATAGGGAGGCCAGGGATATGGGCCGGTTGGGTTCAGTGGCCTCCCATTCATTCTGGATGCATCAGGAGGGACCAGGCCATTGGCTCCAGGAAAGCGGACCTTTGCTCCAGTCCTGCCACAGGGGCAGGGAAGGAGGCCAGCCCATCTCAGGGCTGTGGGACCTCCGCGAGCAGCACAGTGGGGGGTTAATACCCCCAAACCTCCCAAGTGAGACCAACAGCTCTGGGCAGCCTGGGGGGCTGGACCCCTCTTTCTATCTTTCCCTTATGAGGGGCTGTGGGCAGACGGAGGAAAGGGAGGTATGGGACCGGAGGCTTTGATCTCTCCTGTAGCTGGATGAAGTGCAGGTGGGGAGACCCGAGGGCAGGGAGGAGGAGCCGGACAGCTGCAAAGAAGGGGGCGCAGCTGAGCAGCGCAGGGCCGGGCGGGACCTGGGGCGCAGCAGGCCGGCTCCCTGGGAGGAGGGCCCGCGGCGTGGGAGGCCGGGCGGGGGGGGGGGGCCTCTGTGAGAGGGCCTCGATCACTTGCCCCCACGAAGCCCCGTCCTCTCCCAGGACGCTGCAGGCTATCCCCAGTAGGGCTCCTGGTCGGGTGGGTGGTCAAATCCCAGGCCGACGAAGGGGTGGCACAGGCCTCCGCGGGCCGGAAGCATTCCAAAGCCAGGCGCTTGGAGAGGGGCCCTCGGATCTCAGAGTCACGGGCTGGGGACCCGACTCGCTTCAGGGAACATTCCCGGCTCTACACAGGGGTGGATGGAACCTTACAGCGGGTTGGGGAGAAGGGGGCTGGTGGGCTGAATTCTCTGCTCTGGAGCCCGGAATCCTGCAGTAGCCACGCCTTAATCAAGAGGGCGGCTCCCAGGGAAGAACCCCACCGGCGGACGGAAGCTCCGCCCCCGTCGGAGCCTTTTCCCGGAGCCCCACCCACAGGGAGGAGCCTATGCAGGTCACGCCCACCCAGAGTCACAGTCTGCGTGGAATGGGCCGCGCCCGGGTCAGGAGAAGCTCTGCCTCATCAGACAGAAGTTCCGCCCACCATGGAACAGTGCTCCCAGGGAAGAGCTCCGCCCCCAGGGAGGAGCCTATCCCAGAGCCCCGCCTCCTTCAGAAGAACCCCCACGTGCTGGTAGAAGCCTACCAAGTGCCCCGCCCTCCAAGAGCCACTCCCCAATGGGAGGTGCCTTGTCCCCGCGGGAGTGGCCGTGTTCCCCCCAACCCGGAGACCCCAGGGAAAAGCCTATGCAGAGCCCTGCCTCATCCTGGAGCTCCGCCTCCTAAAGGAGGAGCCCCGCCCCCAGGGAGGAGCCCCGCCCCCAGGGAGGAGCCCTGCCCAGTCCCGTTTGCTGAGTGTCTGGCTCCACCCAGGGAAAAGCCCACCCCAGGCAGGGCCCGCACGGTCCGGGGGGGGGCGCGGGCGGCGCCTACTTGCAGGTGTGCACGTCGTAGACGCGCGTGCACTCCTGGCAGCTGACGTAGCAGCACCAGTGGAACACACAGCGGCACTTCTCCCGGCGCCGCTCCGCGCGCGCGTTGTGACCGCGGCCGCAGCACAGCAGGTCGCAGCCGTCGATGCCGTGCGAGCTGACGTTGCAGGTGCGGTCGCGCGTGCCGAAGGAGCCCGTCTCGGGGTTGGGCTCGCAGAAGTTGGGCGACGCTTCGTAGTAGACCAGGTCGCGCTCCGTGGGCACCTTGAAGTAGGTGTAGCGCGGCCGCAGGGTCTCCACCCAGCCGCGGGACTCCCGGTGCTTCTCTACCACCATTTCCGAGGCGCTGTCGTACTTGTCCTTGAGGAAGTCGCCGATGGCGCGGAAGTCGGGCTGCGACCACCAGCATGTCTTCACCTCGCAGCTGCCCGACAGCCCGTGGCACTTGCACTTGAGATGCATGTGGCTGGAGATGGCCTGCGGGGCACGCGCGGGAGCCAGCGTCAGGGGTGCGTCCCCCCCGAGGAAACAGCGTTACACGTCAACGGCAGCCCTCGTGCTCCATAAAGCCCGGGCAGAGGGGGCAGACTCCCAGACAGGGCCCCAGGGCCACCCCCTTTCTATGGTGCAGCTGCTGGTCCCTGCTCCCTTGCCAGACCCAAGCCTTCCCCGCTCCGGGCCTGGGGGGCTCCCCTCTCCGCGTCTCCTAGCTGAGTACTTCTACACTGTCTAGGGTGGAGTGAAGGCAGGACTGAGCTGCAGTGTGGGATGTCACACACCAAGAGCCGCAGCAAAGTGCAGGGATGCAGGGGAGAAAGGTGCTCCTTCTGACCCTGAGGACGCAGGCACGCTGCCCAGAGGTGGTGTGTAGGCTGGGTGGAAAGGCAGGAGTACTGAGCATGAGTAACGAGGAAGCTGGTCACTGTACGGGGTTGTAGAAGAAGAGGAACGCAGTGTTGGGACCTTTCCTCTTGCATCCCAGCTCTTTCATAATTTTGATGCTGACTGCATTATTGAAATGATAGCATGTTGGCTATCCTGAGTCAAATCAAATTTACTACTAATACTTGTTTCTGGCCGGGCACGTGGCTCACGCCTGTAATCCCACCACTTTGGGAGGCTGAGGTGGGTGGATTACTTGAGGTGAGGCCCGTGTCTACTAAAAATACAAAAGTTAGCTCGGTATGGTGGTGGGTGCCTGCGATCCCAGCTACTTGGGAGGTAGAGGGAGGAGAATCACTTGAGCCAGGAGGTAGAGGTTGCAGTGAGCAGAGATTGCACCAAGGCACTCCAGCCAGGGTTACAGGGCAAGAGTCAGTCTCTAACAAAACAAAACCAAAAATACTCGTTTTACCTGTTTACTCTAAATGTGGCTACTAGAAAATTTATAATGATCTATGTGTCTCTGTGGGACAAATTATAATAATGTACAAGCCATTTGTGGCTCCCATTCTACTTCTATTGGACAGTTCTAATCTAAGGCTTCAGCTGGGCTCTGGGTCCCAATCCTGCCTCCTCTTCATCCCGTTCTGGCTCCTTCTTCAACTGCTCCCTCTGATATTCACTGTTTCCTATGGGCATCTGTAGAGTAGCCTACCCACCCCCACCATCTGTCTAGTTTATCTAATACCATTTTATTTCCTCTTTTGTTTTAGTTTTACTTTGGATCAAAGATATATAAGGTGCATACTTTAAGGAGCCCAATAGTTTCCAAGACCAGCTTAGAGAAACAGCAATTGTGGTCCCACATGCAGCCTTTTGTCTACAACTCTAAGAACACATTTCTCTTGACAGCTCTTGATTTTTCAGCATTAGGCATTATTTACTGGCCTCTCACCGTGGCGGGTGGTAGTTAGTTCTCTCTCCCTACTCTACCACACTGATGCACACTCCAACCACCAACCCCTCCTGCCTAAAAACTAGCTTCATTTCACATCATATATTCACTGGTGGTATTGGGATGACGTTAGATGTCATACTTTGCGGAGACAAGTGATACATTATAATTTTTCTTTTCCTAAATGACTTTTTGTAGTTGTTGTTATTAATGTACTGATTCAGCCTCAAATTCTCCCTTATTTACATAATATTCTCTTCAAGATGCCCAAACACATCAGCTATTCTACCGATTTCATCTTCTTACGGAGATGCTGTCCCCCGCCCCCAGAAAAGGCCTTGTAAATTTTATGAAATGTCATGTCTAAAACCAAATCTTTTCTACTATCCCATTTAATTGATAGTTTTGCTGGGAAGTGAATTCTTGGCTTAAAATCATTTTTACATCTTAGAATTGTGAGTATTACTCTATTTTCTTTTCTTTTTTTCTTTTGAGTTAGAATCAACTCCTGTTGTGTAGGCTGGAGTACAATGGCCTGATCTCAGCTCACTGCAACCACCGCCTCCCGGGTTCAAGCAATTCTCCTGCCCCAACTTCCCGTGTAGCTGGGACTACAGGTGTGTGCCATCACACCTGGCTGATTTTTTGCGTCTTTAGTAGAGAGGGGTTTTACCATGTTGGTCAGCCTAGTTTTGAACTCTTGATCTCATGATCCACCAGCCTCAGCCTCCCAAAGTGCTGGGATTACAGGCGTGAGCCACCGTGCCTGGACTACTCTGTTTTCCTCTAGCTTTCATTATTGCTCCTGAAAAGTCTGGTACTATTTTGATTCCTGATCCTAAAGCCCAAACTGCACAGCCTCGTGTATCGTGAACCGGGCAATTGTATATATGTGGGGACTCCACACTGCACAGGGCGCTTTCTACGCTCCTCCTGCCGCTGAAGTTCTCTTCTGGAGGAAGATTAGTCTGAGTTACCTAATTCCTCACTGTTGAAAGGTGAATGTCCCCTGTTCACTCTTCACCCCTCTGTGACCCCTGATTCTACAGTCAAGGGCAGCTGCCATATTCTTGTTGCTATGTTGCTAAATCCAACATGGATGCCTCTTGGCCCTTACACCTGTCACTGCCTGTCAGCCATCTTCCCACCCTCGGTCGTCCACTGATATTCTAAGTCCTTCTTTGCAAACTGCTGTGTTCTTCAACAATTCATGGGTTAAAATCTTTACCTATGAAGATTACAGGCTCACCTGTAATCCCAGCACTTTGGGAGGCAGAGGCGGGTGGATCATTTGAGGTCAGGAGTTCGAGACCAGCCTGGCCAACATGGTGAAACCCCATCTCTACTAAAAATACAAAATTAGCTGGGCATGGTGATGCACGCATGTAATTCCAGCTACTCAGGAGACTGAGGCAGGAGAATCTCTAGAATCCGGGCAGAGGTTGCAGTGAACTAAGATCGTGCCATTGTACTCTAGCCTGGGCAACAGAGAGAAACTCCGTAGCAAAAAAAAAAAAAAAAAAAAAAAAATTAGCTGGGTATGGTGGCATGTACCTATAGTCCCAGCTACTCGGAAGGCTGAGGCAGGAAAATCACTCGAATACAGGAGGTGGAGGCTGCAGTGAGCTGAGATAGGGCCACTGCACTCCAGCGAGGCTCTGCTCCCACTCCCCACAAACAGAAATCTTTACCCTCAAGGGTGACAGCATTAAGACGTAGGGCCTTTAGAATTTGATCAAGTGAGGTGGAACGTCGTGAGGGGGATTAGTGCCTGATATGGTTTGGATGTGTGTCCCTTCCAAATTTCATGTTGAGGTGTAATCCCCAGTGTTGGGCCTGGGACCCGGTAGGAGGTGTTTGGGTCATGGGGCCAGGTCCCTCATGAGTGGCTTGGTGCTGTCCTCATAGTAGTGAGTGCCTTCACACAAGGTCTGTGTGGCGACCTCTCTGCCACGCTCTCTTTCTTGCTCCTGCTCTGGCCCATGTGACGTGCCTGCCACCATGTGCCTGCCATGTGTGTAATCTCCCTGAGGTCTCCCAAGAAGCTGAGCAGATGCTGGTGCCATGCTGTGCAGCCGGCAGATCCGTGGGCCAGTTAAACCTCTCTTCTTTATAAATCACCTGGCCCCAGGCATTTCTTTATAGCCGTGTAAGAATGGCCTAAAACAATGACCTCCTAAAAGTAACACCAGATGCAGGCAGGCACAGTGGCTCACCCCTATAATCCCAGCATTTTGGGAGGCTGAATCAGGTGGATCACGAGGTCAGGAGTTTGAGACCAGCCTGGCCAACGTGGTGAAATGTCGGCTATACTAAAAATACAAAAATTAGCTGGGCATGGTGGTGCACACCTGTTATCCCAGCTACTTGGGAGGCTGAGGCAGGAGAATCACTTGAACCCGGGACGTGGAGGTTGCAGTGAGCTGAGATCACACCACTGCACTCCAGCCTGAGTGACAGAGCGAGACTCCATCTCAAAATAAAAAAGGAACCCGAGAGAACTGTACCCTTCTGCCGGGTAGGGACACAGAAACACCATCCGTGAGGAGCAGGCCCTCACTGGACAAGGAATGCGCTGGTGCCATGACCTTGGACTTCCCAGTCTCCAGAACTGTGGTATTAAACTTCCATTGTTTATAAATTATCCTGTCTATGGCATTTCATTGTAGCAGCACAGACAGACTAAGACACAGGCTCACGGAACTTCGGACAGCTTGGTCTGGGGTGGCCTCTCCACAACAAGATGCTGTTCGTTCCACTGCACGCCGTACTGTTCCCAGACCTCCAGCCTCCCTCCTCCTAAGTAACTGCCAGCTGTCCTTGGCATCGGGCCACCTGAGTGCCTGCACTTCCTCACTGCAGAGCTCCCCTCATCTCTGCGGCTGCCTGGCAGTCTCCCTCCTGGGCTGTGAGGGGCTCCTGTGGACCAGGCCTTCGCCCCATCCCTCGGGCTTGGCCACCCCAGTCCACAGGTGGGCTTGCCATCCCGAGGAGCGCACTGGACACTCTGTGCAGCTGGCTAGTGCAAAGCGTTACACACCCAGGCAAGAGTCCAGCAGACCCTTGGCCTGGTCACCATCCTCCCTCACCAGGATGCCCAAAGGAACCAGGGCACACGCCCCGCTGAGGAGGCTCCTTCTTCCCCACACCCCTGCGGGCCGTGAACCTACCTGGCGCCCAGCCTCGTTGTTGTGGCGGTTCATGGCTGAGCGGGCATCTGGCCGGTTCTCCCGGGCATCGGCGAATTCCCGAGACACCATCCCACCAAACTCGGTGTCCTCACTGCAGCCACCCCACTTCCAGTCCTTGCCTGGTGAGCCCTGGTGGCGGCTGCTGCAGCCACAGATGGCGGCCGTGCCCTCTGCACATGAGCGTGTCACCGCGAAGGCCACACCGGCTGAGGCAATGGCGTGGACAAAGGCTGACTCCCGGGTCGCTGCAGAGAGAGGAGAGACAGAGCGTTAGCAGGGCTCAGCTCCGAGGCCGAGGCCGGACTTGGGAAGGGCAGGGTCCGAGCCCATTTGCATCGCTCTAAAGGAGCTCCTGAGGCTGCATGGTGGAAAAGGCAAAGTGGCTTACTTGGTTCACGATCTGCAGGCTACACAGAAGCATGGCTCCAGCAGCTGCCTCTGGCAAGGGCCTCAGCCTGTTTCTACTTGTGGCAGAAGGGGAAGGGGAGGTGAAGGGGAACCAGTGTGTGCAAGAGATGACATGGCGGCAGAAGAAGCCAGAGACGGGACGTTGGCAGCAGGCCCTTTTTAACAATCAACTTTGGCTAGGTTCAGTGGCGCATGCCTGTAATCTCAGCACTTTGGGAGGACGCGGTAGGAGGACTGCTTGAGACCAGGGCAGACTTTTCAACATAGCAAGACCCCATCTCTTCAAAAATTAAAAATATCAAGTGGGTGTGGCCCTAGCTACTTGGGAGGCTGAGGCAGGAAGATCGCTTGAGCCCAGGAAGTCAAGGCTGCAGTGAGTGATGATCACACCACTGCACTCCAGCCCTTTTAAAAAAACAAACAGCTGGGCGTGGTGGCTCACATCTGTAATCCCAGCCCTTTGGGAGGCTGAGGTGGGAGGATTGCTTGAGCCCAGTTGTTTGAGACAAGCCTTGGCAATGTAGCCAGACCCCATCTCTACAAAAGATTTTAAAAATTAGCAAGGTGCAGTGGTGTGCCGGTAGTCCCAGCTATTCAGGAGGCTGAGGTGGGAGGATTGCTACAGCCCAGGAGCAGTGAAGTATGATGGCATTCCAGCCTCGGCGATAGAGCAAGACCCTGTCTTTGAGGAAAAAAAAGGACTGAGGACAGTGGCTCATGCTTGTAATCCCAGCACTTTAAGAGGCCGAGGCGGGCGGATCACAAGGTTAGGAGTTTGAGACCAGCCTGGCTAACATGGTGAAAGCTGGTGTCTACTAAAAATACAAAGATTAGCGGGGCGTGGTGGCAGGCACCTGTAATCTCAGCTACTTGGGAGGCTGAGGCAGGAGAATCTCTTGAAACTGGGAAGCAGAGGTTGCAGTGAGCCCAGATCATGCCACTGCACTCCAGCCTGGACAACAAGAGTGAAACTCTGTCTCAAAAAAAAAATATATATATATGGCACCAGGCCAGTGTGCACCTGGAAAGATGGTCGACATCACCCACCTTGGGGATGTGCAAATCGAAACCCAGTGAGGGGCTGCCCCACACATACTGGGACGGCTGAATCCAAGTATGGAGAGTAGCAAGTGTTGGCAAGGACGTGGAGGAGGCAGATCCTGACCCTTGCTCGAGGCTGGAGGGAGGGGAAGGCGCGGGCCCCTTGGGAGGCACTTTGGCAGTGTCTTCAAGGGCAAGCATTCACCAGCCATTAGAAGTTAGTTTGCCCCGTCAGAAACCCATGTCTGTGCAAAGACTCATAAGCAAATGTTCACACAAGCCCCAAACTGGAAGTATCCCAATGTCCATCAACAGGGATGCCTAAAAAACAGTGGCAGGTCCATAACAGCATTCAATTTACAAATAATAAGAAAAATAGCATGAAGGACCTCAGAATAGTCACATGGCTGAACAAAGGCAGGAAAACCAGACAGCCGCATCCTTCTGCTGTCCAGACAGCCCGGGGTGCAGACCCCAGAGTGTGGCTCCGCCCCACACACCACCCACTTCTGCCCCGCTTCTTGCTGTTTTCTTCCTTCACCCCAAACACTGGCACTTGCATGGCCCAGAGGCAGGGCTGCCTCTTCTGGAATCTTCTGAAGACCAGTGGCCTCCAGCGCCGCCTCCCCAGGGCCAGCCCCAGTGCCCCAAATGCCCCTGCCCCCAGCTTGGAGGGCTGCAGGGTGTCTGCTGCTGCTGGCACTGGAGCTGCCTGGGTCCTTGCACTCAGCTTCTTTCTTCCCCAAATAGGGAAATGGAAGCTAAGATGAGGAAGTGGCGTTGCTTGTGCAGAAGGGTGTGAGAGAGGGCTGGAACTTAGGAGGAAGCTCAGGTGGCCAGGGCCAGAGGGATGGGCATGAGTGGTGGCCTGGGCTTTGCAGAGGCCAGGTCCCCAGCCAGGCTTCCCCAGCCAGGATGAGAGAATGTGCTGTGTCCTAGGGGTGGGTGTATGCAGATACTTCTGCAAGGGCAGGAGGAGAGGCATTGGGCCTGGTTAGGCCCTGCTGTCATTGATAAAAGGCGCTCAGGGCTGGGCGCCTGTGATCCTGGCTACTCAGGAGGTTGAGGCAGGAAGAGCACTTGAGTTCAGGTGTTGGAGGCTGCAGTGAGCTACGATTACACCACAGCACTCCAGCCTGGCCAACAGAGTGAGAACCTGTCTCAAAAAATAAAAATAAGAAGACAGGCACTCACTTTGGACCCACCCTCCAGCACAGTAAGGAACGCAGTGCCTGCTGTTTGCTAAGCATTGCAGTCTGCACCGGGGAACCAGCAGGGAGCCGGCCAGGAAAGAACCCGGCCTGCTGCTGAGTGGGGCTCTTACAGACCTAGGAGAAGACACCTGTGCTTCGGGGCCCCCCTGCCTCAGCTTGGCCTCTGGGAGCTGCGTGTGCCCTGGGGAAGGCCCCTCCATGTCTCTGCTTCTGAGCCCCACCTTTCCTTGGCTCTGACCTCTCTCCCCTCCAGGGCCTCAGCCAGCAGGAGGGAGAAGGGAGCTCCGGGGCCCTCTCACAGGGACAGCAGGAGGCCTGGGGTTCTCCTGCCGCCAGGGTCCTCCCACGGGAGAAGGTGGGGGTGGGGTGGACACGGCTGCATCCCACTGTGTCCCCCACTCCTCCTTGGCAGAGGCCCCCAATGGTCCTCTCAGGGTCACAAGAAAGTAGGGGCTTGTGACCTCCTCTGCCACCTGGACCTGCAGGAAGCTTTCATCCTCTAGCGGATGGGGCTGACAAGGTCTGGATATTTGTCCCCACCCAGACCTTATGTTGAACTGACATCCCCAGGGCTGGGGTGGGGCCTGGTGGAGGTGAAGGGGTCGTGGGGACAGCCTGGGGCCTGGTGGAGGTGAAGGGGTCGTGGGGACGGGCTGGGACCTGGTGGAGGTGAAGGGGTCGTGGGCGTGGGTCCCATGGCCTGGTGCTATCCTTGACATTACTTACAAGTGAGTTCTTGCAAGACCTAGTTGTTGAAAAGTGTGTGGCATCTCCTCCCCAACTCTCTCCCGCTCTGCCCTCCTCACCATGTGAGACGCCTGCTCTCCCTTTGCCTTCCACCATGATTGGAAGCTTCCAAGCCTCCTGAGAACCAGGAACCAGAGCCATGCCTCCCGTGCAGGTGAGAACCGTGAGCCAATTAAACATCTTTTCTTATGAATTACCAGCCTTCTGTGGTGGCTCACGCCTGTAATCCCAGCACTTTGGGAGGCCAAGGCAGGCATGTAAACGAAGTCAGGAGATCAAGACCATCCTGGCCAACATGGTGAAACCCCGTCTCTACTAAAAATACAAAAGTTAGCTGGGCACGTTGGTGCGCGCCTGTAATCGCAGCTACTCAGGAGGCTGAGGCAGGAGAATCGCTTGTACTCAGGAGGCGGAGGTTGCAGTGAGTTGAGATCAGGTCATTGCACTCCAGCCTGGCAACAGAGCAAGACTCCAACTCAAAAAAAAAAAAAAAAAAAAAAAAATTACCAGCCTCAGGTGTTTCTTGATAGCAATGCAAGAATGGCTTCATTCAGGGCACAGGCAGGTGGTTGCTGGCTGCCCAGTAGAGGACAGACAGAGCAGCCCCTGGGGCTTGTGATACCCTCGGGCCCAGGCTGGCAGGGGCAGAAAGGCATGAGTGAGTGAGTGCACACTCGCAGGCGCCCCCACATGGCCCGGCACGCATCCACACACAGCCAGCACACAGAACGCACGTTTTCCCCCATACCAAGAACACACAAGGTGGAAGGTAACTGAGGCTGTGGCGTCGCATCAGTGTCCCTCTGGCTGCTGGCAAAGCCACCTGAGCCCCTTGAGCCTGCTTTGGTCGACTTCTGTGGATTGGCCAACAGTCCTGTCCCCTCCCCAGGGCCTTGTCCATATCAGGCCTAGACACCCATTGCACCCAGTCACAAGCCCAGAAGAAAACTCTCCATTTCTTCTGTATCCACTTCCCAGCACCAGCTCAGGAAGGGCTCTGCTTGCTGGCCAGAGACTATCCGGTTCTGAAACAGCCCTGGCCACCCAGGCTGCCCTGGCCTTCCCAGGTGGCCCTGGGGTGTCTCAGCCAATTTTCCCCTCCTGGTTCTTTTCTGTGGGTCCATCTTCCACCCTGCTATGAAGAGCCCCCTAGAAGGGATGGACACCGCCAGATTCCAGCTTCCTCCCTACACCATATGCATGCACACATAGACACATGCACACCACACACGCATGCACACCCCACCTGATGCACATGCACACACATGCAAACACACACATGCATGCACACCACACACACACATGCACACATCACTCATATGCATATATATGTACATCTATCACACACACAAGCACACATATATACCCACCACATGCATGCATGCACATTTACACATACATGCACACATACATGCAAACACAGCTTACACATCCCCCACACATGCATGCCAGGCAGACATACCACATATACTATACACATGCACTCACATTGCATGCACACCCAACCCCACTCACATGCACGCACACAAACACATGCACAACACATAACACACAAACACATATGTGAATACCACACGCATGCATGCACACCCCCAATGCACACCCCACCCCACTCACATGCACACACAAACACACACAACACATGTACACATATGAATACCACACAATACACATACATGCACACACACACCCACATGCACACTCTACCCCACTGACATGCACACACGTACATACACATACATGAATACCACACAATACACATACATGCATGCACACACCCCACATGCACGGCCCATGCCCATGCACGCACACACATGTACACACATGCACATCTC